ACTTTGAATATAGATTTAAATATTATGCATATAAATTTATATTCCTTTGGTGGTAAAATTGTAGGTCTTTGATCCAAAATCATTAGACAATAAATTGTTCAACAAAACATTGGTAAAAAAATATCGGTCATAATAAACTAATCTGAATTCTTAGAGCAACGTTAATGCCTTATGAAATAAATAAAATTAATATTTTACAGTATCCTTTTGACTCATTTTTAAAAATTCAAAAAGTACTTAAATTCTTCCACAAATATTTAAATTGAATCAAATAACAGTTTCTTGTGTCTGTGCGAAATACACATAGAATTACTTATGTAGTGAAAATTATTAAATTTATGAATAATTTTAATATTTATAAATTTTGACAAAAATGTAAATAAAAACTGACATTCAAAAGATCTTTACGGATGTTTAAAGAAAATTTGCAGACAATAATCTCAATATATATGATAAGATATTGTTATATCCAGTTCTTTCGTTTATGTATTTATATTGTAAGATGAAGGTTTTAATTGAATAAAAATGAAGTAATAATGACAAAATATTTATTTAATATTATCAAATTAATCAGTGCCACAACGTCGGCGCTCTACACTTTCGCTTGTCAATATATTAGTTATATGCCAATCAATTAAATTCTAATTAATTAAAACTGCGCAAATAAAATTTGAATAATATAATACTAATAATAAACGAATTTACAAATGCGAAATCTAAAAAGTTAAAACGGCGATAGCGAAAATATCGCGAGGGATTAAAGGAAGGGTTTCGAGGTGAATGTATGCAAATTATAATAAGGGCGAGCGTGAAATGTTAAGCTGATTAAGGATTTCCGGCTCATATTTATTAAAAATATCTTGACAGCCTGGCAAATGATCATCAATTATGAAGATTTCGGGGCGTAATTATATTCAATGTAAATAATTTCCTATATCATATGAAATTGTATGGTAGCTTATCATTAGTAAAGATGTAATTTAAAATGGATGTATTTGAGATTGGAATTATATTTTCAAATGTGTATTTCAAAAACTCTACTCCATTGGATCTTGTTAACATATTTCATTAACCATTCAATAAAAAAGGTTCACTTATTAATATTTCAGAATTTTATGGAAAATGAGGAATGTGGCATAATATTTGTAAACATAATCCATTAATTGGAAAACGTTAGAATTAGTTTTTTTTTATTTTCTTTCACAAAACATCGTAAGATTAACGAGGAAATTAAATTTTATCACAAATATTGTTTCATATAGTTTATGCTTATGCACGTTATTTGAAATTTGATCCGCTATTATTAAAAATTCAATTAAAAAATAAACCTGTTGCCCTTACATCAATAAACGCGCATAACAATGTAGTTGTAAGAAAATCACGTGGTATGCTCATGATTTAGATATTAATTTCTAGTCACATAAAATCATATTTAATATAACAAATGTAAAAATAAAAGTTCTTTAATGTTCTATATTCATTATAGAAGAAAGCTGATTGATAGATTTAGGATGGATTTAGTAATACATGTCAGTATGACATTTCGCTAAAAAATTTCAAATCAAAAATATTTGGATATTAACACATTGCTTTATTCTTATGATGTACATTATTTCAGAATTATTCCGCGACAGATAATTGTACCCGCTCATGCTAAATGATCCAATCGTGAAAACCGTGTCATTTAATGAAGAATGTTGTAACTTACATAATGATCTTCTTTCAATATAAATATGAGAAGGCAAGTATGATCGATTGGTATTTTTATGAAATCTAATTACTTATTATGACTACATTCACTAAAGAGGAATCGAATTAATAGTCCATTAGCCAGTACAAAATTCGTGAAAGTCAAGATCAATCCCTATACCAAACCCCCATCATGAGTATTCGAAACCTATCATAAAAAAGAATTAACATACAATCAAATATTCGAAATAAATTTTATTAATAGCCAATTCTTAATAATTTTTTCGTAATTAATAGAAAATAAATTAATAATATAAATAGAGCAAAATGTATCTTTAAAATTATATATATATTACATTAATCGGATCATAGACAAAAATGATAATTCAACCTTTTAGCTCATTTTTATCGAATATCTCATTATTACAAGATCTTGTAATGTTATTAATATCATGACGTATTGGCTATTGATTAGTTCAGTCATATCCAGTCCAAACATATTTAATACTATTCTTATTAATACGCTATTGAAAATTTCCATTATAGACAATCCAAAGTATTATCCAGTCCAGTTAACGCAATGAGACCGTTCGTAAAGTATATAAAAAAACTAAAACAAAATATTATCAATGCACAGCAAACTAATTCCATAGAATATCAATCATCAATCATCACCATCTCAATCATTAATATTACATTTTACACAATATTTATTCCGATCAAATCCAGTCCAAACAAATTTTTACTATTCAATATCGTTCTCATCAATACGCTATTGACAATTCTCCATTATACATAATCAAAAGTAATATCAAGTCCAGTTAATGTAATGAGACGCGTTAGTATAATATATATAAAAAAAAACTAAAAAAAAATAATCAATGCACAGAAATTTCGTCAATCATCAATATCACTCCACCAACTCACAATCCATTAATATTACATATTACTCCAATATTATTCAGTCAAATCCAGTCCAAACAAACTATTACTATTAAATATCACTTTCATCAACTCGTTATTAACAATTATACACAATCAAAAGTCTTATCCAGTCCAGTTAATGCAATGAGATGCGTTAGTAAAGTATAAAAAAAAATTATAAATATAAATCACCAATTCTCAACGAACTAGATTCAATGATATCACTCCATCATCTCACAATACATATTTCTCAATAATTATTCCAGTCAAATCTAATCCAAACAAATTTATTACTATTCAATATCACTCTTATCAATACGCTATTGACAATTTTCCAAATCCAAAAGTATTATACAGTCCAGTTAATGTAATGAGACGCGTTAGTAAAGTATATATAAAAAAAACTAAAACAATAAATAATTAATGCACAGCAAACCCGTACCACAGAAATTCGTCATCATCAATATCACTCCACCAAATCACAATCCATTAATATTACATATTACACAATAACAAATCCAGTCCAAACAAATTACTAGTATTCAATATCACTCTCAATACGTTATTGACAATTATCCATTATACACAATCCAAAAGTATAATCCAGTCCAGTTAATGCAATGAAACGTGTTAGTAAAATCTATAAAAAAATTAAAAAACACCCAATTATCAATGCATAGCAAACCCAGACACAGAAATTTCGTCAATTATCAATGATATCTCACAATCCATTAATCCATTTAATATTTCATATTTTAGCAAATGATTGTTTCACATAATATAGAGTTGGTAGTCAACACAGGCCACAAAAATTTAAGTTAATTATATTCAATGTTACTCTCATTATTGTTCAGTCAGTGTAATAAGGCGCGTTAGTAAAATAAAGTACTAAGAAAACTAAACTCAATCCAGAAATATCCAATGAAGAAACAAAAAAGAGAATTGCAAATAAAAAGAAAAGAAAAAATGTAAAGTGGTTGAACGACATTTCTATATTCATGATCTAAAGGTATGCGAATCGAACGAAAAAGTATGGAATAATGGCTTGACATGGTGTGAAACGTGCAGCATGTCTTGGGTTCGAGTTCGGCTGCCTCCCGAAAAAGTTTATAATTTTTTTTTCGTTATTCATTTAATCAAGTCATGAGATGATGACAGTATGTTAATCATATGATCCGTAGTAAACCACGTGTTCTTAGAGTCAGTTTAAGAATTTGAAATTTAAGTTGTGTAGTGGAAATAGCGCTTGGCAAGGTGTGAGATCAGTAATTTGATTTTACTGGCGAAGTCCATTTTCGCTAAATTTTTGAGATGCTCATACGTGTTTTTGCAAAAAAAAAAATTTGAAAATATACTAAATATACTTAATACAACAATATTTCCACAGCTTGTTATCTTTCACTTAAAAAAAATCCTTTGAACAATTTTTTCATAATAATCATGACAATACGCAAATACAAATTCATTATATTTTATTTTGAAAATGGGAACCAACAGATTTAAATATTTTTGAAAATTAATGTTAAAATAACAAATTATTGAAAGTATATTATGAAATTTAAATAATTAGCATTTATTTTACGTATGGAATATGCGAATTGTAATTTGTCAGGGATTACTAATTTACGATTGGATGGCATAATTCATATTAGCTAGGGTGTTAGGTGTTTTGTCACATGCGTGACAATGGTGATTATTAAATATTTGAGGGACTTGGAATTTTTTTCAGTGGGTTAGGTTTATTCGTCACGCGTGTTACGTGACAAATAAGCATATACCAGCCAATCGTAGGGTGGGGTAAATTAGTGGATTCCATTTAAAAATCGAGTTAATTTTTTTTTTGAATTAAAAATTTTTCGGGTATAAATGGTTTGAAAATAAAATATCGAATATAGAATTGACATTTTATTTATGCGAAAGAATCGTCTGAGAATAATTCGTTCCTTAAATTTACCCAAAGACTTACACGAATCGACTATCAATGTTAAAAAATTTTTTTTTAAATGAACAACCAGCCCAACTTCTAATTTAACGGGAACTAGAGGCCAAATTTGAAGCCCGGCTCGACGCGGACTTACTAACTTATCTCGACCAGTATTTTAAATAATTCATGCTAATTAGCGATGCGACATTTAAATAATTATTTTTATTTTACAAATAATCAAATACATTGTAGGAAGTGTATTTTGATAAATATGACGTGATTTTATTGATTATAATTAGGACATTTGTGACATTTCAAAGTTGAGGTACTTACATCCATTTGTACCCATCTCCGTTTTCAAATTGTTCACGAATAGATTTAGTTATTTCACTTAATAACTAATTTTTCAAGTAAAAAGTAATTCCAAATCCTTCGGAATTATTTATTTCAATAAGGGCTTGAACTATTTGAGAAAGACATTACGTTCTATACGCGTTTTTAAAAGATTATCATCATCTTGCTCTATATTATTATTTAATGTTTTTAAAGAAGTATCATCAATATCAACTTGTTCTGTATTATATATATTAATACTGGCTAAAGGTTAGTAGAAAGTTTTTAGGTTGATATTTTTTTTGACGGTCGGTTAAATGATGTTCCAGGACGGACGACTTTACAACTTTTACATAAAGGCATTGTTAAAAAAAATAGACAAAAGAATTAATAATCGTATTATTATTTTATTATTAATAGTAACTTTATGTAAGAAAAAATTCAACGAAAAAATATAAAAGAAAAGTAAAAATAATTCATCATAATTGTTTTTCAGTGTTACGTCATAAACTATCAATGAAACAACAAAAAAAATATCCGAAATCCAGTAGTCAATTCATGTTTCATGCAATCTAGTTTAAATTATTTATTTTTATGTAAATTAATAACAATGATTAATTGGTGTAACATCCCTAGATTATGGTGTGAAAGCCTTGGGTTCGGATACTACTATACCAATTTAAAAAAAAATATCAAAATTTTTTTTTTTTTTATTCAACCCAGGTGATCAGACAATTTCTTAAAAGTTCACCCTTTTTTATTTACAACAAAAATTTTCTATAAACTAAACATGGCTTATTAAATTTTGGAATTTTAGTATTTTAGGCACGAAAACTGTGTATTTGACAATCTTTATATTATTGTACTTTAATTTAAAAAAAAGCGTCACTACCATAAAAATATGCAATTATAAGGATCGAATTATATGGTAATTTTCTCAGTAAACCCTTAAACAGGTTTTTTTTTTAAAAAAAATAAATTAATATTTCCTAATTAATAAAATTAACTAATGTCTAAGTAAAAAAAAAGCTCATTCAAAACAATAATCTCTTTTTTCTTTCATCATTCTAATACGGCAGATAGTGGGCATCCAGGTAATTAGTACAGATACATGAGAAGTATTTTTTTATTTATTTTTATTTTTTATTTCTAGGAGAATGCTAAAGGAACATAGTATAGGTTGAATAATTATTGATATTCTTTAGTTTCTATTTGTCCAATCATGTTTCACATCTTTTCATGAACTGCTTTGTTTAATGAAATGACTAGTAAAAGTTTTAGCTTAAGGAGAAGCATTTTCTGATAGTATTCTTTAGTATTAAATTAAAAGCGACAATTTAGTACATAAATACAGTCACTTCCTGGGTTTGCTTATTCATCCTTTTTAAAGTATTTTCCTTACATGTGAAAGTTTCCTTTGAGGAGTTATTCTTTTCTCAATCAAAATCTGATATTAGTGGGTTTGATTTTATTGTAAAATCAACACTTTTCTCTAACTTCTTTTTTCCTTTTATTAAATTCTACAAGTTTAAAAGACTTGAAAAAATAGAGAGATTATATCATCTGACGCACTATTCATTTAAGAGAATTCTTTCTGGTTGTCATTAAAAAAATTTAATTTATCATTATTCTGAAGCATTTTTCCTTAATAAAAAGAAAAAAGCCTTAAATAACAGAAATGATTTGTAATTTGAAAATATTTCTTAAACCAGATTGTGTAATATTTCCTTCAGGAAAAGAAAGCTTAAAGGAAAACTTCAGTGAGAAATAGACTGTGAATTAGAGTAATACATTAAATAACAAATACACAAATAATAATTATGATAGTCAAAGGTATTACTTAAATAATATTTCACAAAAAACTTAGATTAAATATAGTTTTAACAAAACCTGTATGAAATTTTTAGCAAAATTCTATATGCAATAACGAATATTCAAAAAATAAGTTAACTGCTTAATTACTACTATATTTCTAAAAATGAGTTACTAGTTGTTATAACTGAGAATGTATTTTGCATTAAAAAAATAAATCTGCAGTTACCATTATTATTCATTACATCAAATTTCAACTTTATTTATATAAATGTCCTTTAAAACTCATATTGTTATATTGGATATAATTTCACAAAATCATAATTTTCACTTCACTTAGTCTTTAAAGATCAATTTTGACCATATCAATATTATTAATGCTAATTAAAATTTTAATATATTTCTTTGTAATATTACTGTAACTTTATTAATTTTGTTATTTTAATATTTTTTATTTATTTTTATTTTCTGATTATTATTTGATAGTTTTAATTAATTAGCATTTAATGATTAATATTTATTTGAGTTAAAGAGTGTCAATATTGAGATAATACTAAATAATTAATTTTATTGAATAATATTTACATTATAAATTCTTTAATTACTTATTAATAAAAAACCTTCTACTTACACTTCAAATTGTATAACGAAAGAATTAAATATAAAAGCATTATATTTCGAAGTTTTGAAATAAAATTTTTACACTTTTTTTGGTTAAAATTTAAAAGGTAATCTAGCCTAGTAATGTGAACTAAAAATGCTAATATGTGTAGCCTAAATAGATATAAGTTTTTTTCTCAATGTCTTTTGCTATCGAAAACTTATGTAGAAAATCTTCCTTTTTGCGATTGAATTTAAATTTGAAATTACATATAATCTTAAACATATTTCTATTATTAAAAATAGTTAGCTATATATGCACTTGCTAATTTATATTACAAATCTTAAAAAGTGAATCTAAGATTTTCTTTTAGAAGTTAATTATCCTGCGATTTTTATTAAATTTAATATCCAAATATAATCAATAATTAAAAATCAAAAAGAGATATAAAGATATTAAATAATATATATTAATATTATTTTTGTTTAAATAATTCAATTAATTAATATAATACAATAATAAATTCAGTTTAATTATACCAAAGAATCAGTTATTATTATTATTATTATTATTAATTATTTTCAGCGACATTAATATTATCACTACTCTTATTATTTATACTTACACCATCTCTAGTTAAACCACTTTGATTACCATTTTCTAAATCAAATATATATCTATACAAAAAAATTCTAAAAATAAGGTACTTTTAATTATTCATAATAATAGTTCATAAAGACTTAATAGAAATGGTATTAATACAGAAGTACACTCAAGATATTTAAAGATATTATTCCAATTTTCTTGCTTCCATTATTTTTCATATGCAGAACATTTATTTAATAGTATTTCACTTAAAAACATGAGCAAAACTTTAGGAAAGAAAAGAAAAGGAGTTTAAGAAAATGAAAAATGAATTTAAATTTTGAAAATTAATTAAATAAAATTTTATACTTACAGATTGTGAATATAGGAGAGATAATAGAAGTATAAGCGACATTTGTACTTATTTTAGCAATAGTAGGTTATAAACATAATAAAAAGATTCCAGTTCTAAACAATCGAAATTTAAAATCGAATTGGTAAAATATATTATAAGAATAATATTACTTGATTTTACTTATCATATCTATAAAGATTTTTTATTTTTTATTAAAAAAAAGAGATAATTTAGTTGTTTAAAATCATTAATATTTCAAAATAAATAATATCAATAACTTACGCATATTTCACTATAATAATTTGGATGCCTACTTCACAACCAAAGTCTTGTCTTTATAAATTGTATTAGTGATGTATAGCTTTGTCTAAATATGAACTGTTATATACAGAAAAAAAAAGTAGAATAAGTACAAGTTGAAGTAATATAAATTATTAAAGTAAATAACTACTTAATATTTAATTATCTTTTGAAAATCAGAAATAGATTCAAATAATATACTGATGATAAATAATAACATACTAATAACATCAGTAATTTAACATCCCTGTCATCATATTCAACATTACTTATTCTTAGAGAATTTAAAAATATGAAAGGTAAACTAATTATCCAAACCTATATCATTTGTAACATAAAGAAAAATAGCAATAATGCAAATTTAGATCTAATACTTTCAAATCTTGAAATTCTTTTCTGATTTTAATATTTAATATAAATAAAATACTAAAAAAGAAAAGTAAAGAATGAAAGGAGTTAAAATGACAAATATATAAATTACAGTAAATTATCTTGCTTACATCCTAATCTTACATTTCACAAAACTGTAAATATTATCATGATTATTTGTCAAATATATCATATCTATATAATATCACAAAAATATTATCAATAAAGGGAATTGAGATAGGCAAGGTTAAATGATCATTATATTTACTTGATCAAAAACTAATATTAATATCATTAATAAAGCAACATTACTACCATCTATTGAAAAAATGAAGAAATTGTTAACTTGGAAATATAAACTCAGAAATTAAAAGAAAAATTATCTTTAAAATCAGTCACTTTAATAATAATAAAAATATATATTAGCATATTTTGATCATAATTGAAAAACTTCAACTGCTTTGTTGATTACTTATCTGAATTAATTTAAAATATATAAGTGATAGTAAAAAAATTAGTTGATATCGAATTATTAATATTCTTATTATGGCTAAATAATAATCATTAAATACTCTAATTACTCATGATTTTTAATAAATAAGTATAAAATTTATTTATCACTGTTTTCAAAATTATGTAACCCCTTTGTAGAACATCTAAAGAAAATTATCGAGATTTTTAAGTTAGAACAAAACTTTCTTAGTAAAACAACTACTATACTGAGATTATTTATAATTCCATAGTGATTCTCACACTTTAGCCACTTTTACTTCAAGTATTTCTTATTTTTTTTTGTTATATAATTTTTGATCAAAAGTTTTAATTACTCAATACCGCTAGCTTTTAACATTAATTTGAAGTAACAAATAGTGTATTTATACTATAATAGTTTTTCTATAAAGAAAATCGTAGAAACACTTTATATGAGTAAATATACTGTAAAGAAAGTTTTGAGGATTATAAAAGTAGGGTTATGTGTTTGATCTATTGCTAAAAAAAGCTAGCGTCAAAAAACTTTCAATAGAGCGAATATGAAAGTAAGTGATCAAAAGTATTTTATTATAAATTATTATATTTTTTTAACAAATAAAATTATATAAATACTAAAGAAACTTATAGCAAATAAGGTGTAATTATATTTAAATAAATTAGTATCAGAAATAAAAATTTTAACTGAAAAAAAAGTGTTTGTTTTAACACTATAAAGGTCTTTGCATTTTTGTAGTATTACTCGAAAAAGGTAAATTTAATAATAGTTGAATGCTATATATTATATATTTTATTTTTTAATTAATTATTAATTATAATAGATTCAAAAAAATGCTATAGAATAAAATGAAG